TGTGCCACCATGCCCAGCTCACTGTATTTTAACCTCTCTACCTTCTGCTGATTTTCTTGCCTTCCTTCTTTGCTGCCTCTACTCTGCCTCAGGGTGCTTCTCCACCATGCTAGGGGACCTTAGTGGTCATACTATGGGTTAGTGCATGCAATCTAGTGGTTTATAGTTTGTAAGTGCTGTGGCATACTGGGGTATCCTCGAGAGTTTTAAGCTCCTGGGGCATGGATTTGCCCTGAAATATTTGGCAGAACCCTTAGCTGGGATCTAAGGAGCTTGAGTTAGAAGACTGCATGGTTCTGACATCCAGTTAGGCTCCTACCTTATGGTTCAATCTACTTTCCTTTGGTGCCCTAAAGAAAACCCTCTGTATAATGCAGTGCTCCCTCAAATTATTTCACTAAAACTTCTCGGCCAAGGAGTCACTCATGCAGTTATCACTGTGATCCAGTTTAGCGCGGTCCATTTCACCCCGAAGTTCTCCACAGTTCTTTGCATCAGGCTGGCCTGCCTCTGCTCACAGCACTCCTCTTAGTCATAGCCTGGTTCTTTAGCAGCTCTTCACAGCCAGGACATCACAATGAAATTTCTGCCGTCTGCTGCTCGCCCCACTGCACGCCCCAGTAAGCAAATCCACTGTGTTTCTCAGACATTTTCCATTCAATTCACCATTTTTGGCTGGAAAAACTCAGGGTTTTCACCTCATTCTCCAATCCTGTTGGTGGGTATTACCAGAACACTGGGGTCATGTCTCATGGTCACAAAGAGTAAAACCATGGTACAAAGGAGGTAGAGTGCAAGCAAATTTATTTGAAGCAAAGGCAAGAAAATGAAAGATTTAAAGTCAAGGAAGTAAAGTTCCTGTTAGTTAGCAGGGGCTTTAAGTAGGATACCCATGAGAGCTCTTTATCTAGGAATTTTAAAAAGATTTAGAAAGGAGATCAGACTGTTGTGCAAGCAATGTAATCTCTTCCCTGTAGGAGATATATTATTTTGGGGGGTCCAGTGTTCACACAGTGTCCATGTAGGGCCCATGTACCCTTGAGCCAATGGCCTGCCTGATCATAATTTGTGGAGGTCTCAGGCAAGTGTAAGGACATTGGCAGGTATTTTTACAGGGTCTGTGGAGGGTCAAAATTCCACAGACTCCATTTTGAGCTTCCTGACTCCATTTGGAGGCTGCTGTCCTTACTGCTTAATAGAATCCTAACTCCTGTCTCACTAATTCCTGTTATAGTGGGACAACAGGCACAAAGACAAACCCAGAGTCCCAGGCCAGGGCTGTGGGAAGGGCAAGCGCATCTCCAGGTCACAGGCTTCCTGAATCTGACCCAAAGCTGTAGGAGGCTTCCATGAGTACATGCTCAATTTACTTGACTTCAGTCCATTTTCAGAGCCCTGAAATGGTAATAATTTTGTCCAGTTCTGGCCCTGTTTTCTTTTAGACAGGATGTGCCTGCCCCTTCACTTGTAGAAGCCCTCCCACTGTTTATCTTTAAAGTAAAAAGTGTACATCATTCTTCCCTGAGATCAGAGCAGGTTCACTACACTCTCTGTACTGTCTGCATGTTTCCTGAAGGACTCAGCAGTTCATGGAAGGGACTACAATCCTTGAAAAAAAATTGGACAAAAGATAAAAAGGAATGAAAAGGAAAATTCTTCCTTTCACTTCTAGTAAAATGGGTTACAGTTCAGCAATACTGAGAAATAATTTTTCTATGTAAACTTTAGTTCTGTTCATAATTCTCAGGTATTATTTCTTGCACCTTTACTTTAGCCAAAAGTACAGACAGAATAGATTTGTGTGTGTGTGTGTGTGTGTGTGTGTGTGTATGTGCGGCACTGAGGATTGAACCAGAACCTGTACATTGAGCTACATCCAAGGCCCTTTTTACTTATTATTTTGAAGTGAGGTCTTGCTCTACTGCCCAGACTGGGCTCAAACTCACCCAGTTCAGGTGTCATGAACTCCACAGGACAAGCCTTTTATGGCAATAGCCATATACTTGTTTTATACAGTAGAACCACATTATAATCTGCAATATTTTCAGATTAGTTTATATAACATCCCCTCTGGTCCTGAGAAGGGATGTTAAATCAGAAAATCAGCCCCAAGACATTTCTGTAGTGACCTTGGCTTCATGGAATCGTTTCCTAGTCACTGCGGATTCCTGCACAGCCTGATGCAGAGTGGCTTCAGGGAGGGACAGAGGATGGGTCTGATGACAGCCAGTCCCTCAGCTATTTTTCCTCCAGCAGGGTCTTTAAAGGGTGCTGCCAAAGTCCTTTGCAGACTGCGTGGGACTTTCTTCCCCAAGCGCACATGACTCATATAGATGACTCAAGTGTCCCTTGAGAAATTTAGTAATCTAGACTTGACTTTCAAAGCAGAAAGCAGCTGTGGAATAGATTCTGCCTGTAAGTTTGAGCAAAAATTCAGCAGAGAATCACGTCACCTTTGTTGTAAAATTTCTGTCCAAGTCTGTTTGGGCATTATGACAAAGTACTAGAGGCAGGCTAGCCTTAGAAAGAAAAGAATTTAACTCACAGTTTCAAACAGCAGGGGCTCTTGTAAACCCTCGACCTTCTCCCCAGCTGTATCGCATCAAAGTGAATGGCAGTGATGACAGCATGAGTGAGATTAATGTTAGAGAGAATGGGGTCCCACAATCCCTTCTGAGGGTACACGCTCCCGTTGTCCTGAGGATCTCTTACATCCTCTGAAAGGTTCCATCAGCTTCCACAGAACTTCTTAAGTTTTTTTTTTTTTTTTTTTTTTTTTTTTTTAAAAACCAGGTAAGTGGGAATGATGGCAATGGCTACTCCTCAGGGCTGTCAGGAAAATAGGATCACATGCATAATGCCCTCCGCACAGCGTTTGAGAACACAGGAGCTCAGCGTAAGATACCTTCCCACCTGATCTCCTGGGGAGACACAGCCCTGCAGGTGGCACAGTGACCTTGCTTGCCACCAGCCCACAAGATATTAAAAGACGAACATGGCTTTCCTTAATTAGCTCAAATTATAGGCCAGGATTTAGAAGTGGAAATAGTTGGGGGGCAAGTTTTCAAAGCCTTTCTGCAGGATACTGTATTTTTCAGTCAATCCTGACTTCCTGGCCTCCAGATGCTGGGGGATCAGCTGGTCTGGCAGACCAGTGCTGTAGTTATGATTGAAAAAAAAAGGGTATGTGAATTACAATTGTCTGCAGCCCACAGGCGGGAACTTCAAGGTGCCTCTTACAGGATGCGTAAACCTACTTAATACATGGAAAATTTTATTCATACCACGGATGTGGGTTGTCAGAGGTGGGCATATCTTCCCCCCACCCCACCCCACCCCACCCCAGCTTTGTACTAAAAACTATACATGACAAAGAAATAATACACTCAGAGAGCACAGGTAACCTGTGTGGTTTATTGCATTTCCTTCTTGCTGGGTACAAGCAGCTCTTACAGGGTTTGGGGACTGGTGTGCACTGGGGCTAGGTCCTGAGGTGGCCTTCATTGGAGGGCAGTGATATGCACATGGGCTGGATGCCAACCCCAGGGCGGATCCAACGCTGATGAAGATGCTTCCACTCAGACGTGAGGTAGGTGTTGGATGGTCACAGTTTCTCAAGAGCCCCTGCCCGATGCTGGGCTCCAGCCCAGAGGCAGCAGTGTGCAGGGCAGGATGGGACCCCAGAGTGTTGCAGTGGTGAAGGCCGCAAATGACTCAGCAGCAGCAGTGGGGCTGTAGGGCCCCTCTGATCCCAGAGGCCAGGGCTTGCGGCGTGGGGCTCTCTGCAGTGCAGCTCACAAGCAGGCCCTCGGCGGCCAGAGCGCGAGCTGTGGTGGGGCCAATAGCTGCCAGCTGCAAAGAGGGAAGAGACAAGAGGGCCCCGGTACCCCAGGTCACACCCCACACTCTTCTTGGTGCCCGGGGAGCCCGTTCAAGGGCATTTCCATTACAGACACCACAGGGTTGTAATTACTTATAGACTCGTAACAAACATAGTTCCTAAAACGTGGGAATGTAAATTTTTAAATTAAAACATGAGAATGGTAATGTCTTTAGAATGGATAATTATTTCAAAACGTTTAGTCAGGAGAAAAGGAAGGGAAGGATGCGACCCCTGTACCATGCTCTGGGCTAAGGACTTCACTTGAACCCTGTCATCTAGTCCTCTGCAGGGAAGACCACACACATCTACAAAGGCCACAGAAGGAGAATTATCCCCATGTTACAATGAGGAACAGACGCAGAGACTGCTCAGAAACTTGCACCAAGCACCAGGGAGGAAGCAATGCTGCCTTTCCAATTCTACAGAACTGGCACCAGGGTGTCTGCTAGGCCATGAGTGCTTTGACTTGACAAGAAAACTCTAGGATAAACAAAACCCTAACCTGAAAAAGACCAAAAGTTTATAGAATACTATACCTTAATTTGATCGATGCTGTCACCAGATAACTCTTGAATGTGCTTGAGACTGTACCTAAGACCAGAGGGACTGAAAAATGTGACACAGGCTGGGATGCCCTGTGGGGAAGAGAAAATGAGATCCACCCCTCACCTCAGACTGAGGGAAGACAGCACTTCCCAGCTCTATTAGCATGAACTCCCTCAGCCACAGGCAGCCCTGGGGGCTTTACAATAGGTTATGCTGGGACTCTCTGTCCTTACAGGACCCCCCAGAAGCAGGCAAGGCATTTAGAAGCCTGTCCTGGGAGAGCAAGGGGAGGTACCTTCTGAAGAGAAATGATGAAGGCATCAGCCAGCTCAACAAGAGCTGTCCACTCTCTCGCCTGAGGCCTCCCAAACTCAACCCAGATGCCACAGTAGGCTTTTCCAGTACAGACTCACCCTCTGCCCCACACGATGGAGAACAATGGTCACTATATACCCCGGGCTTAAATCTGGCTTAGATGCATCAATTATCTTCTTTAATCCTTATAAATTTACTAGCTAGGTCTAGTCCAGTGATGGCGAACATTTCAGAAATGAGTGCCCAAACCCACCATTTATCGCAAATCACCAACATGTGATTTAGAAAAAATAACTCACACCTTAATAACTCACACCTTTCTTACAAGAAAAACAACACACATGTCACAGGTTTGCCACCACTGGTATCCCCATTCCACAGACACAGAAACGGAGCCTCAGAAAAAGCCCCCTGCCTCAAAATCACCCAGCTGAGGACAGGGAAACCACATGGAGAATCAGCATCTGCAAACTCCTTACCCGGTGCTCACCCCCAGGGCCTGCCCGCCAAGGCTCTCCCTGGAAATACCACATACCTGCTTGGAGTAGTAGCTGTGTAGGTTCCCTTGGATTTCTGGATGTGGAATAGTCTGATAGACAGTTATACTTTCCATGGGAATCCCTGGGCATAATCAAAACCAGGGAAGGCTTTACTGCACTAGGAACACGACAGAACCTTTGCCATCTCAGCATACAGTTGATGGGGATGTCCCAGTACAACACAGCACTTGCGGAACAAGGAAACTAAAAGGCTGAACGGAGGGCAAGAGGCCCCGGACAGCTCTCGGCAGCCTACCAAGCACTGTGGTGTGGCCCCTACTGTGGGGGAGGGTGGAGTGGTAGAGGTCAAAGGCCAGAAATCACCACTGTACCCACAGATGCCTTCTGTTGCCATGTTTATGTGAGCTTGTCTACACAGGACGGCCCTTTGTTACTCCTTAAATCCCACACAAATGGGACTCATGACACTCGGAAACAAGGTCCAAAGGCAGCTCCCAGGAGGGGCTGTGCGTTAGGGATCTCAGCTGTGTCCCAGTTCTGCCTTGACATGGCCATGTGCACGCTCTCTGGGCCTCAGGGCACAGATCTGTAGGACTGCAGTCAACATGTTCAAGTCACCTTTGTCCTTGAGCATATTCGGCAGGACTTCTCTTTTGAGGGTTCCACAGGGAAACAGAAGAGGCAGTGCTGGTGACTCCCCTGAAAATAAATAACCAACCACATTGTGTGAAAGTTTTGAAAAAACTTCATTGCAGATGAAGGGCACTCTTCTGTGCCCTTCTGGGAGAGTGAGACCACCCAAGGCGCCAGGCCAGGCTCTGCTCCTCACCTCAGTCCTGGTATCTTTAAATGCACAAGAGAATGCTACCTCACTGACCTTGGAGGTTGCTATATGAAAACAATAGGGGGTAAGGTGGGTGAAGGTGCTTTAGAAAACTACCATCCACACAGACAAGCTCACATATCTCTTTCAATTCCCCATGACCTTAAAGTGGCTCCCTAGCCATAGTCACTACTTAGAATGTAGGCTTTGTGCTTCAAGTCAGAAAGGTAAAAACAGAGCCTGACGGTGGTAAAGGTTTTTCATTCTCCAGAGTAGGTTCTGGATGACCCAAGGCTCAGGCCAGGAGGCAGCAGGGAATCAGCAGCTAGGAGTGGCTCTGCAGCCACCTCCAAAAAAGACAGCTTCCTGTCTGCTGCTGTTTTAGGTCTGCAAGGAGCCGCTAAGCCAAATACCCAGAGGCTTACAGAGTCCAGAAAGATATCAACAGCCCAGCCTCTCACTGTGCCTTCTGACCCATCTCTGCTCTGTGAAGCCTTACAAGCATTCGCAGCCCTAAGCACTTTGCAGAGTAATTATGACAGCATGCAATTTGAGCACCAATTTGCAACAATACCATCAACAAAACTTATGGTTGTCAGATGTCAGAATTTTCTCTGAATGTGAAAACAAAGCATTTTAGTAAAAGCACCCCCTGATCCGTGCATCAGATGCAAGGAATTTTAATGGGTGTTGGTCATGCACAGACATTACGTATTTTCTATATCCTTAAGATCTCTCTGCACATATCTTTGGTCACTACATTCAGAAGGAGCAAACAAGTTCTGCCCATCTAGCACCATTGCCCTGAAGCAGCAGCTAAGCCACAGGAATTAATTATGAACTACTCTATTGGAAGTATGATAATAGCTACATACTGGAGGATGTCTTCTTTATTTAAACTGTGTTGTAAACATCAGTATTAACATAAAAGAACACAACAAATTGAGAAATTGTTAAGTATAGATAACAGATATCTGCTGAGTTCTTTTTCAGGTTGAGGAAATGCTCCATGCATTGCAGATGCCACTCCTAGAGACACATTTTCAAGGCCACATTTTAACCTGAGTTCAGGCTTGCTTCTCCTGTCTGTTCCAGGGCTGGGGGTGCACGATACTAAGGGTAAAGCTCTTTGTGGACAGCTGTTGGAATCTGGCAGTAAAACCAGGAGTCCAAGTGACCAGCAAGCCAAACCCCGAGGGCATGCAACAGGCCTTCAGAAGATTCAAGAACCTCTCTTTTGCTGTATCTCTTTTGAAGATCCAGTGGAGAACTAGCTGCCCATTCACATCCTCTGATTCCTAGATGAGTGGGAAGCTTAGGAGATGAGTCTCCCACGGTGCTCACAAGGCCGGGCTGCAGGGGTGCCTACGGGCAGGTGTTTGTCTCTTTCACTCCTCCATCTGCCTGGCTAAGGCCTGGCAGTGCAAGCACTCAGGGCTCACAGATTTTCCTTCCGCTCAGCTGACTTTATGGGAAAGTCACTACCCTCCTGGCAGAAGAGGAAAACCTGATTATGTCCTGATGGAATTCTTTGCTACTGAGGGGCAATCTACATATTGCTAAGAGCTAACTCCGTTCTAGAAGTCACGGAAATAACCCATTCTTTAGGGCTAAGCTTAATGCCTTTGGATTTATCTTCAACCTAAATAAGTCAATACAACAGTCAAAGCTGGCTGATTTTCCTTCTTTCTTTCTTTTTTTGGTACCGGGAATCGAACTCAGGACTTTGCACTTGCTAGGCAGGCGCTTGTGCCGCTGAGCTATATCCCCGGTTGACCGAGTTTCAATCCAGTGACCAATATTATGGTTGAATCTGACCCAAAAATGTGACTTCTGGAGCCCAAAGGGTTTGTTTTCCCTTCTTCTAATAAGAAGAGGGCCTGGTATTCTGGGCTGTCAGGGCCAAAGAGTAACAGTACTGAAAGTCCTAGAATACAATGCAGCTGAGGAGAGGGCTTGATGAACAATCCCTAGAGGTAAGGAAGATAAGGCGACTGGTTTTTAAAACATTATCTCACCAGGGGACATGTGTATGCCTGTAAAAGTAACAACACCCAGGTCCTTGCGAGAATCAGGTCATACAATCAGTGGGCACTTAGCTGCAGACAATTAGGACACCGAGACTGACTAATGACACGGACAAAGAGCCCAGCAAGTCCGCCAGGCTTAGGGACTGTGCAGATGCAGGAGCGCATTTCATAGGAACTGCAGTGCAGTCTGCCTGTGACTCTCTTTCTCTCTCTTTTTAAACCATATAATTGTCTTCTGTTGTTTTCTATTTAACTTGAAATTAATTTCCCGTTAGAAGAGAGATCCTGGGAGAAAAGAAGAATCCTATATAAGTTATCAAGTTAAATACGTTAACAGCTTTAAGCACTTACAGTGGTGCCTGTCTCATAGTAAATAATAGTTAAGTAAAATAAATAAGCAACAACTATGAATGGTTTGTTTACCTTAAGCACTGGAGGTAGATTTTAGCTTTTAAAATTAGGCTTCAAAGTTTACTGAAGGGGAAAACCATTAATGCCTTGGTAAAACCAATACGAAGATCCTCATTAGCAGTCAGTTTGAATCTTATTTGTATATTCTAACTGCAGATGGAAGATTTATTAGGGTTCACAGACAAGCTGGCTATAAATTAGAGGAAGGAACAAAGGCTTCGCAAAGAGTGCAGACCAGTATTCTCCAAGATAAGGGCAGAATATGTTAATATCTACCCTCCAAGCCTTGAGTCAGTTAATTGCAGCACACTGTGATAGCTCAAAAGTGACAGGGATCCCTCCTTCTGCCTTGTCTTACAAAGCAAAGAATGCAGTCTGACAGTTGTGGACCTTATAATGAAGAATGACTCAGTTCCCTCTGGTCTCTTTCCAGAACAGATGCGTCAACTGTTAGAGCTCACACTCTACCCTGGAAATAGATGAAAGCTAATTACTGCCCCATCCATAGAATCAACGATTATTTCTTGTAAACTCTGGCACTGAACCCCACTAGGAATGTTCTTATCTACTATTTACATTTATTCCTACATTTTAAAAGAAGGGCTTTGATACTATTTAATGCTGTGACCATTACTTCTTGGAGACAACATTAGAAATGAGAAGCCTGGGGGCTGGGGATTTAGCTCAGCAGCACAGCGCCTGCCTGGCAAGCGCAAGGTTGTGAGTTCGATTCCCGGTACCAGAAAAAAAAAAAAAAAAGAAAGAAAGAAATGAGAAGCCTGAAAGTGGGTCCTTCCCTATCCATCTGCATCCTGTGCCGCGTGCCTCTAGACGAACGACCACCTCAATGATAACCTGAGAAATGATCCCATGGGGCCGGCCGTGTGACAAGGAGCCTCCACCAGTGCTCTCTTTGACCTGGACTGCTGGAAAAGCTGCCCTTGGCTTCTCACAGCTGTGCCGGTACTGGTACAGAAGTGAAAAACTGCCACAACCAGGTTGACCTCAACAAAAATGGCCCTCAGCAATCTAGAGTCTGGAGCATTCAACAAGAACCAACAAGGCAGCCAGCAGAGGCCTTTTGCTTAAGGAGCTGTTCAACCGTCCAATCTCAAATGTTCATTCCGAAGCCAGGGGTGCTTTTCCACAAACTGGCATCAAGAGAACAGTCCTGCACAGCCCGACCGAGCACGGCTTCCCTAAGCTGGGTTGCTGCCTCCTGGTGCCGGGGTACAGAGAAGAAAGGAGGCCACTGATATTTGCTCTCAGCAAGCAATGAACATTCTTTCTTAGCCCCAATAAGTCTCTTCAATTGTATATTCTTAGCCTGAAAATGTCCCACAGTTCTGACTTCTACAACGATGACCTCTCTGTCAGTACAGCACAGTGAGGAAGAGTGGGACCAAAGCTCCCATCAGTGCAGACCAAGACATCTGTGTGAGGCCTGCATGCGCCAGGGAGGAGCCTGAGATCAGGAATTCCAGTGGGCTCTTCCCCTCACGCTCAAGCTGGTGTGAGCGGCATCTGGACGCATGGGCCATTCCCACCACTCTGTCCCTGAGGGTGCAGCAAGGCCTCGGGGACCACCAGGGGGACTCATCAGCACCAAGCACAGACCCAAGCCCACAGGGAAGATCAGCTCTGAGAAGACGCCTTCACTTCAGGGAGATTTCTTAGACTTCTGCACCTGACAAGAGAACTGAGCATATTTTGGACTAAGTAACTTTTAAAAGTACGAAGAACAAGGGAGATATGCGGAGCTTAACAATCAGCCAGTTCTGGACTTGGAACCTAGCCCAGCACTGGTAACCATTCCTTTGGACAAGGTACCCTCCTTTCCAAGCTCAGTGCCCTCAGTGAATGAGTCTGGTAATCAGCCCCAAGTCATAAGCTAAGCACATTAATACAGCAGGCACTGAGAGGCACTATGTAGGATGCCAGTGCGCACCCAGCCGTCTGGGGAATCTGCCAGTCCCGGAAAACATTTCAGAGTAACTGCAGTGCAACCTGCCTTTGACTCTTTCTCCTTTATTTGGCTTCATTTGGACCCCTGAGATAGTGTGGTATAATAGGAAACAAATATCTAGTCTTCACCCCTGGCTCTTGGCACACAGCTTCTAAAACTCTTGAAATGTGCGCACGGAAGATGGGAAGAGCATCTTTTGTTCTTCATAGCAAGCCCTTTCAACCTCACAGGAGTTTATGCTAAAGGGGTCGTTCTTGGTGGCCCTGACTTCAGAATGGATGCTGATAGACAGAGGACCCAACCATGTGATCAGAAGCCCCATCCCAGACCTCTGCGGAAGGGAGAGGGACTGGGGATTGAATTAATCACCATTTCTCAATGATTTAATCCTACCTTGAGGAACCTTCATAAAACCCCTAAGCCATGGGTTTAGAAAGCTTCTAAGCCAGTGAACATATCCACACACCAGGAGAATATCACCTCCCAACTTCAAAGGGACAGAAGCTCCTGTGCTCAGGACCTTTCTGGCCCTTGCCTTACATGCCTTCTCATCTGTATCCTTATATTCTTTATAATGGACAAGCAGAGGTAAGTGAAACATTCCCCTAAGTTCTATGAGCCATTCTAGCAAGTTACTGAACCTGAAGACAGGGCTGTGGAATCCCTGATTTATAGCCCACTTGGGGTAGAGTGTGGGTACCCTGTGCCTAAAGTGGGGGCCAGTCTTGTGGGATTCAGCTCTGAATTGTGGGTCTGTACAAAATCTGGGCCATTAGTGTCAGAACTGAATTAAATTGCAGCACACAGCTTCTAAAACCATTCCTGAATGACAGATGTGGGAAGAACGTCTTGCATTACTCGTAGCAAGCCCTTTGCAGCCTCACAAGAGTTTATGCTCATGAGGTGATTCCTGGCGGTCATAGTCACCTATACCCAGTTAGTATCTACAGAGTTGGAGAAGTGGTTGTTGATGTGAGGGAAACCCCATATATTTGGTGTCATAAGTGCTATTGTAGTAGTAGTGGAGTGGCACTAGCCCACTGTAGCTAAACTGTTCACACCCCTTCTTGACACTTAATCCACCTGACCTTCCCAAGCCCATCTAAACTGGGAGCTCCTAGCAGGCAGGAATGGAGTCAGAGCCCTTTCTAGCTCTCGATGCTATGCAAGGGGCCTGGCTCACAGATGCTCCTGGGTAAATGTCTGCAGAACTATGATGAACTGACTTGGTCCCCAGTGACATGGCAGGGAGTGTAAGGGTAAGAGGTGTAATCAGTGCATCAAGTGCCCAACAGGCCTGCCCAAGCCAATTCACATGAATTCATGGAACATGGGAAAATGCAGCACCAAACAGCTAAACCTTTCGTGGCTGGAACTAACTTCTTTGAAGGAGAGTGATCAGAAAAGGCCCATGCAGCTCTTCCAAGTGGGAGGCTCCACCTGTTTCAGAGGCAGACATACTGTAAGCCCCACCCTGGTGGGCCCATACCCTGCATCGGAGTGGATGGAGGTCCCTGGATGGCAGCTTCTTAGGGGCAGAAAGACACAGAGCAGTGCTCGGTAAAGTTTGCTAAAGGTGCTGGCCAGAGTGATGGCCTTGCCATGCTCAGTTAAATTCCTCTGCCATCTTATAGCTTGTGACCTTGGAGAAGAGACAAGACCCTGGGTCCCTGAGAGACTCTAGAACAGCGCAGTCAAAAAGAACTTCCGGGGTGATGGGAACATTCTGCACTGTTCAACGGAGAACAGTTAGCCACAGTGTCAGCTAAGTTTGTGAAATGTGCCCAGTGTGACTGGAGAACTGAATGCTCAATTTGATTTAATTTCAGTTAATTAAACTGTAAATTTAAGCAGCCATAGTGATGAGTGGCTACCATCCTGGGTGGCACAGCCTGCTATGGAAATCATTCTGATTTTACTGGGTAGTGGTGAAGAGTAAGTGACATGAAGCAGGTGAGAAGTGTCCAAGTTCCTGGTGCACACTGAGCATCTAATAAGTGCTGATTCCCAGTGTTAACACAGGGCACGTAACAGGAAAGGTAAAATGCACATTTATTTACTTATTTATTTCTGTGGTGCTGGGGATGGAACCCCGGGATCAAACCCAAGGCCTCACATATGCTAGGCAAGTACTTCAGCACGGAGCTACACTCCCAGCCCTTAATCTATTTTTAAGAGAAAATTGGTTGTCACAAATATGTACACTTTTAATATTATTGTGTATCTGTTTAAAATTAATTTAATACAAATACACTTTAAAAAAGCAAACTGGAATAAAAAAAAAAGAGGACTCGGAATTTGAGAAAGGCCTGCCGGCCCTCCCCTGCTCTGACAACCCTACTCAAGGGGCAAAGAAAATGCTCCTCTTTGGGGACAACCTTAGCTGTTGGCTCTCCATGTGATCGCTCCTCCCAGCTCAGCAGACACCTAAGCAATTCTAGTAAGGAATCAGAAAGTTACTGTCCTGGGTCAAAGTCAAGTCCAGGCTTGCAAATTGTTTATGACCTCTCTCCTGCTACAACTGCAGAGTTTGCTCACTTTGACAGAGATCACTACCTAAAATATCTAGTCTTTAACAGTGAAGTTTGTAAGCTCCTGATCTGGGGAAAGCAAGGCCTTGATCTGCTCTTCAATGAGATAGGGTGAGAGGATTCTACTTGTCCTATGTAGCTATGTGATATGGCTAGGAGAGTTTATGTCTGCAGTAGGACTAGATACAGGGGAAGAAAGAAGACGGAAGATGCAACCTAGAGGTAGACCTTCCCTAACTGTACATACTCAGTCATCCATTTCTTTCATTCTAAAATCTTTGCTCCAGAAGTCTTTGCCCATGTATTCTTCAGAAGCCTAAAATCCCATAATAGCTTTAGGTTTAATTCCCCCATTCAAATGCAAACATCCCTAGAACCACAGCCAATCTAGATCCTAGTCCATGTGCTGCCGAAAAATGACCTTATTCTGAAAGTCTGCTCTTTATCTGGGAACAAGTTTTGCAGGGAGGGAATTCAGGAAAGGAAGAAGTTCCTCAGAGGAAGGAAAAGGTAAGATTAAGAAAGGAAGAGTACTCATCTCCACCAATTGCCTCTGCTATCTTTAGAAGCATTTCAGATGGCCTCTCTGCTGTCTCATCTCCAAACATTTTATTTTGTGTCATGTTCAAGTTGTCTCAAGTCCTCTGATGTAGAGGACAGAAGGAGGTAGACTAAATCTCAAAAAGGTACAGACATACACAAATACATATATATACAGATTAGGGTCCAGTCTGGCCCACCTGCTGCTCATCAATCAAGTTCACCACTGAGAATACACCAAGAAGTACTCTTGCCCTAGGCAGTGATATAAAAATCAACAAACACAAAAATGGACTTCATTTGGGTGATCTTTTTCTACTTACTGGAAGAAATATATTCTGCAAGTTTTTCTGCATTTCCACAGTTTTCTCCTTCAAAATCTAGGCCAATTTTTTTAACTGGAAAACAACAAAGAAGAGCATTTCTTTAAATGATTATTGTAAACATAAATTGTGGTATGTCATCTTCATTAGATAAAGAATCACCTAGCGGATTAGTAGTCCTAGCAGATTGGTATCTTGTATGTGTTTCGGTGGGTCATAGAGGCATGGCATTGGGCACTATATAAGGTCCCTTGTCCCTTCTCTTTGGCATCCTGCCACTGCTTTGCTTCCAAGAACTAGGCAGCTTCACTATGCCTGTCCTTCCACCATGAGCTTTCTTCCTCAGAGCCTGAAAACCATGTACTGAATCTCCACAAAACATGAGCTAAATTAAGACTTTCCTCCTTTACGTTGTGGTTCTCAGGTATTTTGTCCCAGCAACAGGAAAGCTAATAAATACAGAAAATTGGTACCAGTATTGGGGTCATTACTGGGACTATAACTGATCATGTAGTTTAGAAGCCTTTGTAACTGGTTGGCTGAAGGAGTTTGGAAAGGTTGGGAGATGTGGACTAGTGAAGCCTTAGAATGTAGTAAGCAGAGCCTGTTGAGTGATTCTGGTCAGAATTTAGAAGACCCGCACGTTGATAGGAATGCAGACAATAAAAGCCAGGCTCAGTAGATCTCAGTTGGGAACAAGTATTTCATTGGCATTTGGAGTGCAGGCCAAGTGTTTTATACTTTCACAGAAAATCTGACTACATTTGCACATGTCCTGTGTGAGACTTTGTAGGAGCCTGAGATTAAGGGGAGAGGACTAATTACCATGGCAGAGGAAATTTCAAGACAGCCCAGTATTCATGTTGTGGCACTGATACTGTTGGCTGCTTTTATCCAAATTTATAATGAGATTAGGGATGCAAAAGGCAGAGTGGAAAAATTTGAAAAAAATTTTGGTCCAGAAGGAACTATGTCTAAAATTGGAGCCAAAGGAGGCATGGCTGCTAAAGAGATTAACACTATTAAAAATAAAGAAGACACTTTATACAGGGATAAACAGATGAGTTCAGGGGCTCCCAGGAATCAGTAAGACATCAAAGACTCAAGGATGCAAAAGTGTGAACTTTTCATTTAAGAAGAGAGCCCCTGAGATACCTGCTTGAAAAGGGCTTCCGAGGGAACAGGTTCCCTGGGATTCATTTGCCTGTACACAGCCATCTAGGCACTCAGAGGCTACTGCAGCCCTAGCCAACCCTGCTGTCATCCAGATGATGCCGTTTTACTGGCAGGCAGAACTTAAGAGTTGTGGGAAGAATTAGGAAGGCTTCCACCAAGACTTTAGAAGAAGGTTTGGGAAGTCAGGCAAGGAGCCTAAAAAGGCAGTGCGTGAAGCTGAGGGAATGAAACGAGAGGTCTAGTGCAGAGCCCAGAAAGTTGGAGATGCTAGGAATGTGGAACATCTGCTGAGAAAAGCTTCAGGTCCAGAGTGGAGCCACCCCAGAAGAGAGGCTACACGGGGTACAACCAGTAAGGCCATAGGGGCAGGGCTACCTGTGTTCTCTCATACTCACATTTTACCACTGTGTATCTTTGGTGCCAGATATGGATTTATAGAACTTAATGTTTGTCTTTGTGTGTTTTTGTGTTGTTTTGGCCCAATTCTTTCTATCTCCTCATTCTTCTCTTTTGTAATAAGAATATTTAGTAGTTTAGGATTACATAACTTATTTTTAATTTTTACAAATGTTCACAGCTACGAGTTTGCCTTGAGTCTCAGAAAACACTTATGAACTTTTGAAAAATGCTGGAACTACTGAGACTTTGGAGAAGAAATTATTGCATTTTTGGTTGTACTCAGGATAGCTGTATTATGAATTATGCACTGCTATTGTCCTTATTTGGAGATTAAATATGGCTTAAGGAGGTGTTTTTGAGGTTGGGGATATAGCTCAGTGGCACAGTGCCTGCCTGGCAAGGGCAAGGTCCTGAGTTTGGTTCTAGGTACTGAAAAAAAAAAAAAAAAAGATGTTTTTGGTGGAAGTTGACAAGAAATGCTTACCAGATTAGTAAAGCATGCTCCTGGGTGGGTCACAGAGGTATGATCTCGGGTATTGTATGTGGCCCCTTGCACATTCCTCTCTGAGAGTGATCCCCTGCTCTGCCTCCCTGATGCCATGAACTAAGCAGCTTTGTTCCACCATGCCCTCCCACCATGAGGTGTCTGCTTTGGATCCTGCAGATCATATATTGAATCTCCTGAAACTGTGAGCTAAATTCTCTCCTTTAAATTGTAGATGTTGCGTACTGTGTTCCAGCAAAAGGAAAGCTAATACACTTACTGAAATAATTTTGCTTCTATGTTGCTTTTTAGTGTGTAAATACACATCTCATGTGCTTTACAAATCACAAAGAAAATTTTCCACTTTAAGCCACAGCAGAAAGATCATAAGCATCCATTTGGACATGAAGGTGCTACAGCCCCTGTCCTGTCAAGATGTGAGGCTTCAGGTCAGGCCTTTGCTAACTTCTCTGAATCCCACTTAGTTCATCTAAAAGAGGAAAATGCCAACCCTAAAACTACTTAAGGATTATGTAAGATAATAAAAGCAAACTGCTGGCTACCTGAAATAAGCTCAATAAAGGCTCTTATTTTATCAGTCAGGAAAAATGCACATTTGAGAGCTATTCATTTTTTTTTTTTTTGAGATAGGGTTTTGCTATGCAGTTCAGGCTGGCCTTGAACTCACTATGTAGCCCAGGTTAACCTCAAGATCACAGTAATCTCTTGCCTCAGCCTCCTGAGTGCTAGGATTACAGGTGTGCACTACCACACCTGGCGAGGTCTATTAGTTTTTGCAGGAATATCATTAGGGATCTCCAATTTTGTTAGGGAGGAAAGGCCCTATCGAGAAAGGGGTTGTGGGCTTACACAGTCAGAAGGAAATGGCAGAAAAAGGAGGAAAGGTTTCATAGTAAGCTGCCAATGGAGACTCACAGTACATAAATGCAAGTCATTTAGGGTGTGGGGCTGTACTAGTCACTTTTATGAGGTTCTTAGTAAGAAACAGAGTGAGCAAGGCTCCCTGAATTTTTCCAGACAGTGACACATGGTCACTCTGCAGAGAATACTGAAGAAGGAAGGACCCAGGACAGCTTGGTTGGGATTGCTAGCTATGCCCAGGAATGCAGGACTTCTCTGAGAAAAGAAGTTCTGTGGGCATTCCATTAAGGCGCCACACAGCAGGCTGGCCAGTAACAAACCACAGCTTCCATGTGAACACCATCAGCTTTTAACTTATGATGATTAAAAGTATGTGGAGTCAAAGAGAAAAAGTCTCATGCAGGTATAAACTCTGCTCAGGAACAAAGCCCTCCTCATGCTATGGTGCTACCCCAGGCCAAGACCCTCCTCTGTTTGAGTCCATAAGGGCCAAGTGCACAGAGCCCCAAACCCAGGATCTGAACTGGGACAAGAGACCTGCTGTGTGGCTGGTACTTAATACAGCAGTCTCTCCTTACTGCAGTTGCCATTACCTGTGGTCAACTGTGAGCTAAGAATATGAAACATTCCAGAAATAAACAATTCATAAGTTTCAAATTGTACAGGATTCTGAGCAGTGTGATGAAATCTTATGCAGTTCAGCTCCATTCTGCCTAGAATGTCAAAAATCCCAGTCCTGTATATCCACACTGTGTAAGTCACTCGCCTGTACAGTCACTGTCTCAGTTATCAGACTGAGTGTGGCACTGTAGTGCTTGTGGCCAAGGAACCCTTACTTAATTCAGTAACTCTCTTACAGCATAAGAGCAGTGATGCTGGCAATCTGAGCAAGCCAAAGAGAGGGCGTCATAAAGTGCTTCCTTTCACTGAAAATATAAGAATTCTGCATTTTAGGAAAAAATAAAATCTTTTGCTGATATTGCTCAGATCTACACTATAATAAGATACTTTTAGAGAGAAAGATCACATCCATATAACTTTTATTACAGTTCAGTGGTATAACTGTTGTTTTTTATTATTGATATTAATCCCTTATGGTGCTTAGTTTATACATTAAACTTTAGCATTACATTAAACTTCAGGTATCTAGGTATAGGAAAAACAACTAAATAAGGTCAGTACCATCTGTGCTTTCAGTTATTTGGGGGTGGTGGTGGACAGTATCCCCACTGGTAAAGGGGGACTACTGTATTGACACTATATTCATTTCTCCTAAGTAAAGAGACATTGGGAACTATGCCTCAAATATTAACTTTTACATATAGCTTTGTTGTTTGAAAAGTAAGCACTTGCTCACTTGATCTTTACTACAGCTCTGGGAGCAAGACAATTACTCCTGTGCTTGAGAAGAGGAAGCTGAGGCTTTGAACAGTTAATGGATGACAGTTTGGTTGGTGAGGTCAGGAGCTGGGCTATCTGGCCTACCCCACAGTCCACAAAAGCTTTCATGAAGCATGTGTGGAATGTGTGTAGTCTCAGCCCCCGCCTGTGGCAAAGCTGGTTCTGCTCCAATTCAGTACAGGCACTTTAGTCAACAACTCAGGTGTGAGCAAGCCTATCTGGAGCGCCTCCCTCAGGCAGTAGCTAGCAGAGAGACTTCAGATTATCCACAACTGTGTTAAATAAACCAGGAAGACTACAGACAAAATGATGTAGAGCAGTTATATTTGAGAGGTGATGACACTGATCGCCACAGTGGATCAAACTCCTTGGATTCGTGTAAACCTGTGGAGTGAAATCTTTTGCTGGAGGCTGGCTATGCTGGAAAAGTGTCATTTGGTAAATCTGAAGGTAAAGTAAAATCCTTACTACAAAAGCTGATCAGTTAGAATCAAGAAATGAGTTTGAAGACATTAACAAGGTTATGGATAAGATTTTTATAAATTTTTTCAGAGTTTATAGGATAGGAATGAAAAAAGAGAGCAAATGGAAAAGATAGCAATGAAAATATACAAAAAATACAGTTTGGGAATTATAAAACATCTGTATTCTTAGGTAGTGCGGGATGTGGCTTTGGAAAAATGCAGTCATGGGTTTTAATGCTATGACACTTTCTAAATCTGTGAATCTGGAATTGCATACTCCCCACTTAGCTCAGTTGCTTCATTTTAAATCAGAAAACCTTTATGACAATGAGAATCATGGCAGAGTGTCTACTATATTGTTAGAAGTTAAAAATAGTGTTGTTAGTTATACTAATAATTGTAGGTGACAATTTGTTCAGAAAATACAAATACTCAGAAAGTGCAAAATACTCAGGCTTTCTGAATTGTTAGTTGTTCAGCTATCTTCCAAGGAGTCCCTGGTCTGGGTTTGCCAAGCTAAGCAGCAGTGGTAACAAATGGCTGTACCTCACCTTTTGCAGGTAATGGAAGACTGGCTGAGTTGGAGGATATCAACCCACAAGCCAATCAACCCCGATTCTTCAAAGAAACAAAACTCATTAGAATAAGCACATATTATCCAGCCACACCCCATCTTCTCAGTGCAAAGCTGTGCAACATGTACTTTTCTCCATCTATCAGTAATCAATTATATGGGTAAATTGGAAGTCAAGTTGCAACATTTACGAATAAAAGATGATACCTTCTCTCACTGGTCTTCCACAATGAGATCCCCCTTGTTGTTAATTTGATCCTATTCTACTGTTTCTTCTCTTTACTTCAAATGTCCAATGCTCCTGACCACATCCACAGCCTCTGGGGAGCCAGGGCAGCTCTTCTGCTGCTGTTGACCCAAGGCTCGCAAGTGACATAAAGTGGCCTCCAGTGATCTGCAGGATTTATGCCCTTACATCAACTCTTCCATTAATGCAGAAAGACTTAACGAGCCAGGTATGGTGGTGTATGTGTATAATCCTGGCACTCAGGACCTTCAGCTGTAGCTCATCTTTATCGCTGTGAGTTCCAGGCCAGCTAGGGCATAGTGAGTTCAAGGTCAGCCTGAACTACAGGGCAAGAATCTGTCTCAAGGAAAAAAAAAAAGACTAGACTAAAACAAACAAATAAAAAGACAGTAGAAGTGATGTCACTTCCATGATTAGGTTTTAAAGACTGCCTGTTTTGGGCACTTTCCTAACTCCCTGGAATCTCCTTAGAACAGGGCAAGCCTGTGCGCTTTTGAGAGGCTCATGTAAGTGAACTGTAAAGCTCTTCCCTTGAGGCCTGCTGCAGCCATACAGTGCACTACGAGGTAAATAATCCTCAAGATGCCTGCAGCCCTGGCCATCAGCTTGACTGCAGCAGGGTGACAGATCTGAGCAAAGAGAACTAAATTAAGCCACACTCAGATTTCTCACCCACAGTAACGGTGAGATAATGAATGTTCATTGTTTCTAGCTACTAAGTTTTGGGGTAATTCATTACACAGCCCAAGATGACAAACAGAGCCCAGTCTCCTCCCAGTTTTTGGCACTCAGTTCCGTCCAGCTCCCCAGGTCCCTGCTCAGACTTTGGGTGAATGGAAAACTCAAGCAAAGCCTTGTATGTATGTCCACTCACGTCAGCTCCTTTGTATACCATGTCTGAAAAGATGAACTACAACTGAATGTCCAAAGTAGGGTAACTGATTTTCTCTTAAGAGAAACATGTTGGTTTCCTCCTGAGAGATTTTTTTAAAGTTGCAAAATCCCTGATTTCATCTCTCCTTTGACAACCAGTTTCTGGCATTTAGAAGACATCCCTCTTCACAGAGGAGTGACCATGGAACGGCCTGAGGCCGAGTGCCTACTCGAGCCCATGTTGTGGTGCTGCGCTTGACCATGGTCCACTCTTAGTGGCTCCAGATCTCGAGATAGAGCTGGCTCATATTTTCTCATTTGCCAAAACAGTGAGTACAAGATGAACAACGACGCTTCAAAGTCAAGCTGAAGGGTGTGTGGCAGCTCAAAATGTCTATCCGCTAACATGTGAAGTCTGAATGTGGAAGACAAAAATTCAGGCAGAAAAATTTATAACTACAACGTACACAAGATAGCTGGGCTTTTGGTATATAAGTAAGAAACTTCCTAAATTATTTTCTTTCCTTTCCTCATTCAGGAAAAAAGGGAAGAAATAGCAAAATAAAGTAAAAGCAAATTCTTTGCTTCGGGGGAGATGCAGAGAATAAAGGGGATTTCCTTGGCATGTAAGCACAGTCCCCCATCCTGCCTGACTTACTGAGCTTGTGGCAAGAATGGCCCAGTGCAAAAATGATGCTATCATCTTTAGCTGAAGTAGCAGCTCCCAAGCCACCTCTTCCCCAACCTCGTTTTGTTTTCTGAAAAATGTGCTTTTAATTCTTAAACTACTTGCTCTCATGGTGCACTTTCCCCTGATATTTTTAACTTCAACAAAATGGAACTGTTTTGAAACAAAGCTATAGGTTAACTTATTCAAAACTGTTAAGCTTTATTTTAAGTGTTTAAAATATTATAATGTTGACTTTTAACATTTCCAGTTTATCTTTTATGCTTTAAAAGGTGTAAGTTCAAGACTATTTGGAAAGACTCAGAGAAAAGTAAGAAAACTTGAAAAACTAGAAAATTAGAATACCAACTACCTGGAGAGTCAGGCTTTTCTTTTTAATTGAAGTAAAAACACATAACATAAAATTTGCCATTTTAGCCATTTACAGAGTATAACTCAGTGGCATTAAGTACTACATTTACAGTGGGATTTGTAGGGTAAAGATACAAAATTTAAATAAAGCTTCTGGTACCAGGAACTGAACTCATGACTTCAGGCTTGCCAGGCAAGCACTTATGCCACTGAGCTATATCCCCAGCCCTAAACAAAACTTCTGAATAGCTACTTGTTGAGTATTTCTTAAAAGATGTGAACTATGGTTAACACTACTTAGCCATATTTGAATATATTTTTACTTATCAGTAGCATTATATATTTAGTTACTTTCTGAAATTTTTCTAAGTAAAAAAATAATACTTTAAAACTGAATTAAAGTATTTTAAAAGAACAAAGAAGGATGAGTTATCTTTTGGTGCATAATTTTTACCTTGACTCCTTACCTAGAGAAGCAGTAGCCTTTCCGACCACGTACACTGACTTAGTGCTCCATTTGTCTTTCAGAGACTTTTCCCAGTCTGTAGAACATGGAATTATATGTGAGGTGTAAATACTTAAGTGTCCATTTAGACTGTTACCAATGGTTGCTTGTTCATCCTGAGCAACATATTAATAACAAACTGCTAAGATGGCATCTCAGCTGGCTATCGCAGCACGTCTAATTCCAGCACTGTGCTGAGCCATGGGGATCACAAGTTTGAGGGGAGCCTGGACCGCTTAGCAAGACCCTATGTCAAGAAAAATCCCACCAAAAAACTCACAAACACAAAAGAAGAATCGCATCTCAAACCAAAATTTCACTTTCATATTGTTCCTAGTTTGCAAGAAAAAAATTTAAAAATCACAGTGGTAAATATCTCAGTATGACTTGCCTGAAAGAACTCATTTCCACAGTTGCACTAGACGCTATCCCCCACTCTACACCTGAGCTAATTCTCCAGCCCTTTTCTTATTTTTTATTTTGAGAATGGATCTTGCTAAGTGACTAAGTTGCCTGGGCTGGACTCAAAACTGTGATCCTTTGGCCTCAGGTTCCCAGAGTGTGGGAGTATAGAAGTACAGTACCATGTAGGAGCATTTTTAATGTGTACCAGAAAATAAACATAACCTGAAGAACTAATTGGCATGGTGATATTAAAACTTAAAAATCTACACTTTTAAAGAAAATGTCACCAGTCATTAAAAAAAGCAACCTAAGTGTCTAGTAAGGTAATCAGCCAGTTTTATTTGGGACATAAATCTTAAAGTAGTCAACAAGGTTTAATCTCAGATGAGAGGACTCATTCATACATTAGGTCAAAGTAGAAATAATAAATTTCGCCTTCACTACCAAACACAATGTAATAGAGAATATTACTACTTTATGGAAAAGATCTATAAACATGGATTAAAGAACTACAAAGACAAAATGGATTGAATAAGTACATGATAAGGTCAATGAAGTTTCAAAACATACTTAGAAGACAAAAACTAAGATATTCCTTCCTAAAATATGAATATAAGCATAGCTTTCCACTACATTCAACAGTGTTATTCTATTCTCCACACCTCTGAGGGAAATTATTTTTAAATGGCAATCCAAATTGAATTTGGGGCCAGGGATATAACTCAGTGGCACAGTGCCTGCCTGGCAAGTGTGAGGTCCTGAGTTCGATTCCCGTACAAAGCAAAAAACAAAAAGCACCCCCCAAAAACCAAATTGCATTTTACTTTCCTTTTTTTTTTAGGGGGGGGTGTACCAGCAATCGAACTCACAACCTTGTGCTTGCTAGGAAGGTGCTGTGCCTCTGAGCTATATCCCTGGTTTACTTTCCTTTTCATCCTACAGTATAAATAATATTTGTTAGAAAATTATCCACTGCAGGAGAATAAACTGTTTCCCAAGGTCACAGCAGAGTGAGGGCGGAGTGAGCTCTGGCTGCGTCGGAAAGCCTGGCTGCAGAGCTGACTCAGCTCTAAGCTGGCCGTGTGATCCCTGGCAAGTCAGGTCACCCTCAGTCTTTGTCTTCATTGAGATAACTAGCTGAACTACACCTCTCCCACTTCTCATATACTGTTGTCATGAGAATCAACATTTTCAAACATATGAGAAGTGCTTTTGAACTGCAAAGCACCACAAAAAGTTACAGTGTTTACCCTGGGGTTTTCTTCTCTTTATCTTCGCCCTCTAAGCACATGTGAGTGGAAAAATATGAGTGCAGAAAAAAAAACACCCACCCAGAAGCCCCACCGGGAGAAAGCGTTGGACTTCCCTGCCCTGAGTTTCTTTTCTGCTTTGGAAAAAGTGGGCCTAGTTACATGTGCAGAAAGATGACCACAGCCCATCAGCACTGCCCCTCACTGCCCACTGCTCCAGCAATGCCACGGATGCTCCTCTTCAGGACTCGGACTCCGCAGCATCAATCACAAACCTGTAACTTTTAGACACTATGGGTTCTAGTTTGAGAGCTTTGCACCTTCTGTTCTTCAGGCTCCTCGCATGCCAAATGGAAGCACTGATTTCATCTACTTCATAGGTGAAGATGGAGGACAGTGCCCGTCACAAAGTGGGCATCCAATGCATTCTAACTAGTGGGATGTAGAACAACCCCATGGTGAAAAGACTACTAAGAGCAAGGACACGGAGGGGGCAGAGAGGCCGAGGAGCTCACCGAGGTCAGAATGGCTGCATGAACTCAGCCCTAGGGCACTCCAAGCCCTTGTGCTAACCACACTCCCTGCTGCTTCTCGTTGGCACAGCCCTGCCAAGCTGCAGTGGTTTCATCTGCAGAGGGAGATCACAGTATTGTGTGTCTCTGGACTGTTGTTTGGAGCTGAGCAAGAGAATAAATGTAAAGTATTTACCACAGGGCCTGAGCTATAAAGGGCACTCCATAAATGTTAGCTCGGAGGCTGTCCAAATGAAGTTATGAAAGTGGTTCGGTTAGCAGGTGGGGCCTTTTCATACTGCTGTGATGGACAGGGAGGGAAGGAGGTGGAAGAGTCGAAGTGACAGCTGTGTTACAAAGAACTTGGTACGATGTGGAACATTTTCTCCTACACTATGAAATTTTCTCATCAACCCTTTGAGGAAAGAGGTATTTATCCTATTTTCAGAGAAATAAGCTAGCACCTTATATATTGAGGGGAGACTTGAACACCCAGCAAGAAATCATTTAAAAGGGCAGAGAGAGTTCGTCTCCCCGCATCTGTTTGGGAGTGAGGAGGCAACCCTGTTCCCTGTGGCTCAGTACCACGATGCACCTGCTTCTCTCAGAAGCACAGCTATCCCTGGAATCTCGTGTCTCCACGGGAGAAAGAAGAGTAAACAAAGTCAGAGCAGGCCAACTCTCACCTTCAGTTTTATTGTCTTTCTCCAAACACAGCTCCACGGCTTCCACTGCTCTGGGACTGGTAAAAATGAGTCCCCCGTAATCTTCTGGACGAGACAGCTGCACATCAAAAAGCAACAACAGTATCTCCCAAGGAACTATGACCCACAATTCTAATGCTTTTCTTAAGTAGTAGGTAAGTGAATTCCTTCCACCCAATCCTTCCCTCTGCCTACACAACCCTTACTAGTGCTTACTGTGGACCTGGAATTATCCTAGGCCTTTTAGGATTTGCAGGTGATTTCATTATCATAGTGTTTCCCTCAAAAAGCTCACATCTAGGGAAGAGACAGTGAGTGTAACACAGGGATGAGTGTAACTGCAGCTGAGGAGGCCTGATTCAGCCTGGGACTGGAGCGAAAGGCAGGAGGGCCACACACCTGACCTGCATCTGTAATACACCTGGGATGTTCTGGAGGTGATACACATGACAATGCCCCGAGTTTCTCACATAACATACTGGTGATACAATCTACTGAACATTTACTCAAGCCAGGCCCTGGGCTGTTGTGAATGTCTGACTTTATAAAAGTTGCAGACCTTGAATCTTTTCACTTTTGGGGTGAGGTCAAACTGAGGGTCCTGTGCATAGTTGGCAAACACTCAAACACTGAACTGTATCCCCAGCCCAGAACCTCTGATCTGAAACATTTAGAGGGCAGGGCCTGTCTCCTTGCAATATTGGTCACTCCTATGCCGGGCAGCAGAATTGACGGGGTGCACAGTAGCCCTGGGTTTGAGTCCCAGACCTGGCCCTTCCTGGGTAGGGGTCTCTGCTGAGTTGTCTAACCTGGGGCTTCCATCTCTAAGATGGGAAAACACTAGTATGGCTTGCTGCACAGAGGTCAGGGGTAGGGCTGAATTAAGTGAGAGGATGAATGAAAGGGTCCTAGAACCCAGAGCCACACACTGATGCATTCACAAGTCTTGTTCCTCGGGGTCCATTTCTGAGTCTAGGCTGCTTATCTGAGGAGCGAGAGAGGCACAGTGAAGAACCCCCCAGTGCAGGGTCCTGCACTCAGGGAGGCTGTGCTGTCCCTGTGCTCATATTTGGTGGTAAAAGGAGGGGTTGCCAAGGGCTGCAGAGAGACTAAACAGGAACATGGGGATCAGACATGATAGGACTTACCTTCTCACAGAAGCTGGAGAGAGACAGAAACTCAAATGATAACACTGGGATCAATGTGGCTTCAAGGCCATACAATCCTAATTCCTGCAAATGAAAGAAAGTAGTTCTAGGTTGGCCAGGGCTGTTTTGAAAATAAGAAAAGGGTCATAGTATCAGGCCAACAACTTATTCTGTGTCAAGTCTGAATTATAGCAGCTCTGCCCCACCACCAGCTCCAGCCCCTTGACTCCATTAGCAAGGAAGCTCTAGTTCAGGGTAGAAGGAGTCTCTGCTACTTACCCTGATATATGGATCCTGGCCACAATCATCTTCCTTTGCATCTTTTAGTAAAAGAACCTTCATTATGACCTGGAAGTCCTGATGGGGCACTGCTACAGAGCGAGGAAACAATCTTAATTAGATCTCAAAGACTTCCTAAGCAGAGTTACAGGGGGACTCAGCACTAGAAGGAGGCAATCAACTGTTTGCGGAAGAGAACTATCTTTCCCCACAGTGACTTAGCATTCATGGCCCTGTTTTTTCTGAAGATCCTGGTCATTGATAAGGCCATGGGCGGGAGAGCATGTTAGCACTTGATATACCACTTGGAGACACCAATGAAAGCCATTAGTGAAAGTCACAAGTCCTACACCAAACAGTTATGGCTTACAGAAGGGAACAGCAAATTCTGGAGTGCAGCAATAACAAATAAGAAATTAACATCTTACATTTCAAAGAAGATAAAGAGATAAATACTTGTATTTCAAGATAATTATATGAAGCAGCTTTGTAAACACTTTAAGAAATAATTAATTTTACTGCCTTTTCTACTTCTGAAATGGTATTTATAAATACTGACCAATGTAATAAGATATATAACCTGGATAACTATTTTTGACATATATTTAAAACCATATATATTTCATACCCTTTCTTCCTATAATTTCACTTGTAAGAATAAATAAAAAGGTAGTACTTATAAATGTGTACAATGATTAAGATAAAGATGCTGGTTTTGCCATTCCTTATAACTGCAAACGACTGGGAACAATCAACATACAACAATAACAGAATGTTTAAATAAATTATGGTACGGTGCTATGACATCATTAAAATATTCATAAATAACCTAACTGCATGGATTAGCTAATAAAAAATAATGCTACATAAAAAAAACCCACGGGACTCAAAATTATGTAAACAGTATGGTAATTGCTATTTGAAAGATTATGCACCAAAATATTCATAGCATGGCTTATGCTATTCTCCCCCTCAGTGTACCCTGAATTGGCTTCAGGGAGTTTGGGGTTTTGGAAAGCATTTTGTTGCCTTGTATTCTCATGTTTCTATTGTTTGGTTTGTTGTGTTATGAGATTTGTGGCCTGTTATACTGGGAAGACCTTGTTGCTGGTACAGAGATCTCTTTAGTTGCTTTTCAGAGATGTACTTTGGATGAAGCTGACTGTAGTCCTTTGCCTCAGTCTCCAGATCTAACCACATTGGTTAAACTGGGAGAGGAGGATGTAGTGTAATTAGCCAAACACTGAGTTCTCTGGGAATGTATTCTAGCATTATTAATGTTACAAAGACAATCTGAGTGTAGGCTTACAGAGAAATAGCAATAAGTATGCAACCCTGGTAATATCAAGCAAATCAGCTACATTAGTATCACACAAGATAAACTGGATACTAACATACCCTAAGAACCAATTATATACCATGCTTTACCCTAGAGAACAAATCTACAATTATGGTATAAACTTTAAGACAACCCAGGTATTCACTTATAGCTAATATGTATTAAATACAACAGCTACCATCTCTGCTAATGGTAAAAGATAGAGTTTTACAGAGTTTATAGAGTTAACTATCAAATGGTAAATAAATCTTTATGGTTATACTATTAAAGATATAGGGTTTGGGAACAGGGGAATTCAAGAGGAAAAATCTGAAAGCTTATACTACATGATATGAGAAGGAAGAGAGAAGTGGTACAAAGAATCCTACTGGGCAGTATAAGGATTTTTATAGAACTAGGTAAAGGTAAGAAAAAAAAAAAACTAATGAGAAAAAGAAGATGAAAGAAAAAGAGGGAGAGAGCCAGGCATGATGGTGCATGCCTGTAATTCCAGTACTCCGGAGTCTGAGGCAGGAGGATCACTGTGGGTTCCAGACCAGCCCGGGCTACAAAGTGAGCTCAAGGCCAGTCTGAAGTGCATAGTGAGACCCTGTCTCAAAAAGGCCAAAAAAAAAGGAGAAAAAAGAGATTATATGGGGTGTATAAATAAGAGAAAAAATTAAAGGGAGAAAAATTAAAAAGGAAAAGGGGAAAAATAATGGAAAAAAAGAAAAAGAGATAAAAAGCAAGGAAGAAGGACAAAGGAAAATGGCCCAAACCCTAATAAAGCAGTGAAGAAGAAAAGAATTAAGAAGAAAATAGAATAAACAAAAACAAAACACTTACAAAACCAAAAACAAACAGGAAAAAAAAGAGATAAATTTCTGTGATTCTGAACGTGTGGTCTTCTTCTGGGATCTACAATTTTGGGGAAATGTCCAAGTAAGGATGTGTCCCTGCTCACGCTGGTAGATAAAGACAGTCAGCCCCGAGATCCATGCTGGAGGCAGGCAGCAGCAGCCAGTAGGATTAGGATGGAGGGGCCAATGCCACAACTTTCAAAGCCAGAGCAACTCTGGCTGAGCATGGTCTCTGGCCATGGGTGCAGGGCCTGGGTCCTGTAGCTCAAACACAAGGGGCTCTTTTCAGCCTGACTAGGGTTCTCTGACCCCAGCTGTCTCCTACCCAGTCTCTGTGGAATTATAACACTAGAAGCTCTGAAGTGAGGCCATCCAGGGACTGCTCCAAGTGCTGAGTTCAAATAATCAACCTTCCCCGAGTGGAGACTGACCAAGCACTGTCTCCAGGGATACAGTGGGTGCTTGGACCAGCTGATGCCGACCTAAGCACTCATGTGGGAGTGGAATTCCATGCTCTCCTCACAGCTCACAATACCTAGTCTGTTCCATTGCCAAGTTTCCCCCTGCAGCCATCTGCAGTCCCCAGCTTTCACTTTGTAGATTTGGTCCCCCTTTCCCATATGCCATGAGTCAGGAATAGGGAGAAAGTGCAGAGTGACCCTTCCCTTCTCTGTGTTGTGTTCCGTCTTTTTGATTTTCTGTAGGTTTTAATTTTCCATGAGATCCTTTCCATTTGTTGGGGATCTACTCTCTCTTTTTTCTTCCCTAAATTATTATTCCAAATCTCAGACAGGCTGAGACTGCTTGTCGCTTCACCATGTTCCTGGAAGCTCTGGGGATGATCACTTTTACGTCACGCTGGCCAGGTCAGTTCCTGGTTACTTACAAATGCTAATGTGGGTGCTGCTGTGAAGGTAGGTATTTTGGAAATATGACCAAGTGTGTCATCAATAGGCTCTTGTAAGGGAGATTATCCTAGATAATCTTTGTAGGCCTGAAGAGTGGAGCAGAGCAGAGGCTTCCCCAGGAAGAGACTCCACTGGTGGACATGCATCTTTGGCACCAGCTGAGTTGCAGCCTACCCTTCTTGTTGGTTTTTAGGGGCCTTGCCAGCTCCCACAGTCTGCACATGCCAGAACTTTGCAATAAATATATATATATATAGCTTCCTGATTCTCTTTCTGCTGTGAATAATACGGAGAGCTCACTGGAAGAGTGGGAGCTCGATGAATATGGTATATCACAAATGTCAAGAAAAACTTGGCATTTTCTGCTGCAACATAAATCTAGGGCTCACAGCGCAAGCACCTAATGTGGTGATTAAAGGGCTGAACCAGAATCCTGGTGGAAGCAGGTGAATCTGACTTCAGAGCTCTACTCAGGCCCTTTCCTTGTCTCCACCATGGTTTCAGGCTCTGGCACACAGCTCCCGGCGATTTCAAAGGACATCTTAGTAATGCTTTCAAAGATCAGGAGCCAATCTCTCATACAAGTGTTTCTATTTAGTTCTCAGGCAGTGACACCAAAACCCCTGAGCTAGCATCTCCCTCAGGGAACTCAGGTCTGTATTCCTCACTGGGGGGGATGTATGTGATAATTTCAGGTACTAAGAAGCGCTAAGAGTGATGTGGCAGAATGACAGGGATGCTGACAGTTACTCTTCTGGGGAGATCTCTCTGGGGAGGTGACATCTGAGTTAAGCTTTGAATGATAACAGCAACGAGAAGAAATGTTCACGTGTCCTCAGGAGAGAAGTACAGTATGGCTCAAGTGTATGGACAAGGCAGACTGGATTTCTTGGTAATCTTCTGAAAAGTGTCAGCCATGTCAGCGATAAGATCCACACCAAATAAACAGCACAGGTTTCAGTAGCTAGGATGGACAAGGACTCCAAAGGCCACAGCACATTAGGTGAAAGAGCTCCTGGTTTGGATCAGAACTGTGGCAGTACTGATAGGAGAGAAGGGTGTGGCAAAGCTGGCTGGGGAAGTAGGTGTGACCTGTTAATTATAAGACTTCTTTACAGAACTGAGCAGGTTCTCAATAGGATGGCCTACACCTGACATCAGCCTAAGTCGTGGGATCCTAGCACTGCCTCTCAGGGCCTATATGTAGATCTCTCAGGTTTCCTTGAATTCTGGACAGTATAAAGGAGAGGCACCACAAGAACTTGCTATTGTGGTTTTTCCTTATTATAGTTCGCCATGCTTTCTCCAGTGTCCTCTGATCTTGCTTTTTCCTCTTTTACTCGGCCCAAGCTCACTCTGCAGAGCCAGTTTCTCCCCCATTCTTCACTTTTACTTTTTTTTTTTTTTGGTATCAGGCATCAAACTCAGGACCTTGCGCTTGCTAGGCAGGCACTGGCCTCGGAACCACATCCCCGGTTCCACTTTTACTTTCTGGAACAAACTTTGCCACTATTTTTTCCTCATTTCATTCAATTTTTTTGTTCAAGATGCAAAAAACCTGGAATCAAACTCCAGGAGAGGCAAGCAACCCAGAACCCAGTAATGTTTATTTGATGAGCCACTTTTAGAGCAGGCTACCTGCTAATAGCACTGGTTTGAACAAATAAATGGTTGGATCAGAGATTCATACTGAGGAGAGAGCTACTGGCACTTACTGAATTCTGGGTGAAATCATACGTTCACAGCTTAGTTTGAAATGGTTGGGACCAGGCTGAAAATAAATGTCTTTTTTCTTTGAAACCTTGAACATTTTAGGTTTATCTAGTTTAGTCCTATCATTTAGTCAAGAAATATTTACAGAAAATAAACTGTAACTATAGTAGGCACTAAGCATACAATATAATCCCAGCATCATGATATTTATAGGAAAACAAAATGGTTATTTTACAAAGGTAGACACAACAATATAGTATCTGGCTGTAAATCCCCTCCACTCCCCACAGTGC